TGGCTCGCCTCCTGTTCCCCCGTGGGCGGGAGCGGGGGCCGGGGCCCTGCCCTCCCCTCCCAACCGCGGGCCGGGAGGGAAAGCAGAGCCCCTTTCTTCCCCCTTCCCGTGCCTCTTTTCCACCGCCGGGAGAGACCTTCCTTCTCCTAAACCCTTCCCTGGCGGGGAGAGGAGGGGCGAGGGATCCCCCTGCCCTCACCCCTGTCAAGCCGGCCTCCCCTGCCCTTTGCTCCCTGTCAAGCGGAGGGTGAGTCAGGCGTCTCGCAGGCTGTGGGCAGGTGGGGAAAGAAGTTGGCTCCTACCTCGAAGGGAAAGGGTGGACGTTTTCCCTCCCTCTCCCACTTTCTTTCTCCCCGTAGGTGGTGGGCCTGGACCTGGGTGAACTCGTCCTTCGGCCTGTGAAACTCTCGCCATGGCTGTCGGTGGGGTCGGGGCCTCGCTCCTGCTGATGGCCGGCATCATGGTAACAGTGGGGCTGTGCAGGAGATTAACCCGCCGCCGGCTGCGCTCCCACCAGCGCCTTTGCGCTTTCCTTTTGGAGATGTTTAGCACCTTCCAGATTTGCGCCTGCACTAACGAGCTCTGCCTGCTCAGCAATGTGGAGCCGAAGCCGCATACCGCCCTCACTCTCACCTATGGTTTCACCGTCCTGCACGGCTTGACTCTGACTGGCAGCACATGCAATCCCTGTGGCACTTTGCAGCCAATGTGGGGCGGTGGGATATCGGTCAAGATGGGTGGACTCAAGATCGGCGCTCAGTTCACGGCTGCAGTGCTTGCCAGAATGTTTATGCACTTTATCTGGAGCCTGGAGATGGCAGAGCCACATTTTGGAGCGCTCTCACAGAGCTGCGGCAACCCCATGCAGACTACAGAGATGCAGGCGTTCTGCATAGAACTGCTCTTTTCTGTCATCTTCCAGCTGACCATCCTGCGAGTGGAAAGTGTTAATCCCAAATACAAAGTCCATCTGATGGCTCTTCTCATCACCATGCTCGTGTATGCAGGTTAGTCTTTTTTTTTCCTCTCTGTTCCTGCAATAAAGTTGTAACAGAAGGAGGTTTTTACTTTCTCAAAAGGGTTAAGATGCAAATTTATTTTTCTTAAGAGTACAAAAAATGCGTCAAGGAAAGTCTTTGGTCCTACATATGCAGAGTTCATTTGGAGTTTATGTAAAGTTTGCCTGGTTAGATTCCAGGCAGGTGTGGGGTTAAGAATGAAATGAGTTATGAATTTAAAACTGTGTCAAATCTATAAGTAAATACGGCTGAGAGTTTCACAGAACACTGTTAAAATATCTCAGTGAAGGATCGTTTCATAATCCGACTTTATATAGCGTGAGAGATTTCATACAATGTGCTCTGATTTCTAAGTGGCATTGCGAGAGAGTGCCACTGTCTGCATCAGGAAAAAAATGCTGATTGTGCAACGGCAGGGTACGGACCAGTGATATGGAAGTTTGGCATTTAAATAATGCATAATTCATATCAGTGCAGTTTATTTAACTATGTTAAATCCTTAAATAATAAGCGGGAATGGTTCATGTGGAAATTATAAAATAATACCTCGTGAAACCAAATGTGAAAAAAGAAGAAAACTAGGTTCCTGTTGAATCATGACATTTACAAGAGTCTCCTGTCTCTGTAATGCCCTCTGTGTCCGTGTCCTTGCCCCTGCCTGACTGTCACCTCATGCTTCCCAGAGCTGGGACACTGTCACCTGCGCAGCCTCTCTGGACCGGCGGGGAGGAAGAGGTGAGGGGAGTCAGTCTCTGAACTTTCTGCTGACTGTTGATGCTCCCTGTTGTCCCCAGTGAAGTGCCAGAGCTGTGTCACTTGAGGATTGCCCTGCAGGGAGTGGGTTGTCCCGGGAAGGAGATTCTGTAGTTTGGGGTACAGGGAGGTGAGACAGATGATTACAGAGCTCCTTGCTTGTGCTACAGCCCCCACCACAGAGGAAGTTATCTAGGAAATTATCAAATCTATTTATGAGAGAGGGAGATCACTCTTTTATCTGCAAATATCTGGAATGTCATTGGCATCTTGTCCAAAAGGTTGGACTGTGTTATGCTATCTAGCATAATAGCATATAGTAGAATAAAGTACAGTCAAATTTTCGGATGTATTAATGAAAAAACCTTTACTCATTATGTTTAGCTGAAATTAGCTAATACCTGAAAGATTAAAAGAAGTCCGTGGAGAATTTTGAGAATTAACTTAGCAATTTGAACTACATTTTTAAATTAATTTTTGAAGGCAGAGGCAAGGTGTCAATGCATTTTAGCACATTAAATACTTTTCTGAATTGCGCAGTGAAAGCGTAGCCAAAGATTATCCTACCTCTTCTACAAGCATAGGAAGCTGGATTCCCGATTCTTAACATTCCTTTCCTGCTTAGCAAATAGTCATATAAGATAATAAGGGTCACACTGCCTTTCTCTCTGCTAATTCACACAGAGAATTCATGCCCAGTGTTGTTGGCCAAGCTGGCCTCATATCTTTTTCTAGCAGGAGAAGGCTGCGTATCAAGTCCCCTTCCTTGTCATAAACTTGGACGTGTTACGACTGTCTAGTGCAATCAATCTGCATGTACTTCTAGGAAGCATCGGACCTACCGAGGCCTCCCCAGGCCTCTTTCACATGCACAGTTTGTGCTGTATTGTGTGCAGAACAGCCTGTGCTACCTGGACATTTTTCTTTCCATCTCTTTTAATCTAGAATCAAGTGTACTATAAAAATATATATGCATTCCAGAGAGCAGATAGCGAACCTAATTTTATCCCCTCCTTAGTGGAAAATCTAATTCTTTCTTGTTTGCTGTGCTCCAAGCTTCCTAAGGTTTGTACTCTTTGCTGTACACTCAGGTTCAAAAGGAGAGGTGAAAAGCACCATCCTCCCCCTGCAGTAGTCATGAGCCTGGTGTTTACTGTGCACTCCTAAGATGTGGATTGAAGCCTCTTGAAGTAGAGGAGGGCGTAAAACCCAAGATTTCTATCGCTGAGCTATTATACAAGTGTGGGAGCAGGCTGCTGCTATTCATTTCTTTCTGTGATGAAGTCACAGGCTTGCACTGTAACAGATCTCGTTTTTCAGTGGAGGGTTGGGTAGGTACATGTAGGATACCTCAG